TTTTTTTTTGGGTGCTGGGGATTAAACCCAGGGCTTCATTTTGCTAAGCAAGTTCTTTACCACTAAGCTACATCCCTAGCTTTTTAAATTTTGAGACAGGTCTTCTTAAATTGGTTAAATGAGCTTGAACTTCTGATCCTCCTGCCTCAGATTTCTGAGTAGCTGGTATTATAAGTATGTACCACCTGGCAAAAGTAACCTTTATTTTTAGGATTATTATAAGGACTGGGAGTTGAAATCAGGGCACTGTGAATGTACCATTGAACTATATCTTACTGGCATTTTGAACCTTTTTTTTCTTAGTTTTAGTCACATGTGAGAAGGACTTGTGCATAGCACCATGACAAATAGATGGGTGTGCATGTAACTTACGCACTGAAAGATAGTATAACATACTTAATTCTGGAGTCAGACCAGGGACTCAAAACTAAGAGATTAAGTAACTTACACATCTATAAACAAAGAGGTTAAATAATTTATTTGAGGTTACACAAGTGTTAAATAATGGCACCAAAACAATATGAATCCAGGATCTAAACTCTTAAGTACTTCATTGTCTTCTCTAAAAATGTCCTTTCCTTCTTACAAATCATAGTATTTACTTGGGCAGGGGGAGTGAGGGGTTGAGACAAGGTCTCACTATGCAGTTCAAGCTAAACTCACTGTAGCCTAGACAGGCCTCAAATTCATGGAGAGCCCCCTGCCTCAGTTTCCCTAGTACTGGAATGACAGGCATGTGCCACTGTCTGACAAGTCACAGTGTTTAGATCTGTATGACACTTCAGATCCAAACTTGTGTTATTATGGGAGGAAAATGGAAAAGTAGATCTCAGCATATGCCAGCTAACTAATTCTAATTAGTTTCCAGTAATACCTGCCTCTTGCTTTGTTATGTGTATGGAGGTGGGGGATGTGGAGCAGGGAGAATATAAAGATATTTCCCTTAAGAATATCCTCCCCTTAAGAATATCCCCTACTGATATTCATCAGTAGTAGCCCTTGGAAAACAGGGTAGAATGGAGGACTCCACAGATCTGATCCTTACACTGAAACACCAGAAGGTCTAGCCACCTGCCTCGAAAGCACAAAGTCTGGAGTTTGATCCCCAGTACCAAAACAAACAAATAGAAGGCCTTTGACTGTTCTGTCTTAAACCACTTAAGAATAGAACCACCAATATCACCAGTTTTTGTAGGGTCTGATGTGAACTGTGATTTTGTTCACCAAAGAAACAACCCTTAAAAGCGACCTTCCTGTTACAGTTGACTAGAGCCACATATTACTGATGGAACTTCAGAGCTCAATTAAATTATAAGCACTAGAGCATGTTTTTAAGACCACATGAGACAGGAACATCAATAAAGCAGAGAGTAAAAGTACCCTGAAACAATATAAAAGCTTTTCCAAAATTGAAAGGGAACAAAATTTTGTATTCTCAGTGAGCAGAATCATTAATTTTCAAGTTCACGACAGTGCCAAAAATAGCTGGCAGGGGGAGTGCAAATGGCTTTGTGCCAAAGTAAAAACTGGGCTTAGAACATTCCAAAGCGTCAACTGGAGAGCAGCAGATTGATTTTTGCCATTCCCACCATACCAGAAAGACATTTAAAGTTCAAAAGGTGACCTGTCACTCAATCACCTGTGAGAAGGTAGCAATAATATATGGTTTCGAGGAAATTACAGAAAACACTAATTCCAGCCCCCAACTCATTTTATAAAACAAACAACTAAAGACTGGCTGAATTCGGTTTTTTCATTTGGTCTCACCCTGCTTCTGGAACAACAAAAGCAGCTAAGGATTTCCAGCAAAAGTTCACTCAAAACAGCAACTCCTCCCTTACAAAAAGGAAAGCATCAAAAGAGAAAAGAAAGCAATAAACAATATAATACATCTTCTCAATCCAGTGAGGGTTCTTCATCACTAGGGCCTAGAAATGTTCGACTTGTCTGACTAGGAAGCAAGAAGACTGAAATTATTTTCTCCTTTACTAAACAGTAATTCATAATTACAGTACACTTACTTCTAAGAACTGAGTATTTTAAACTGTGAATCTGGATTATAAATCTTGGAAATTTTTTTATTACATCTTTTCATTGGCATCCATCATTTTTCAATTCCTCAATATAAAGGCAATGGTGGGCTAAGATTTAGCTCGGTGGTTCCACTGCCTGCCTCGAAAGGGAGTTCAATCTCTACCTCAAAAAAAAAAAAAAAGACAATGGAGAGACAGGCATGGCAGTGCATGCCTATAATCTCAGCACTTGAGAGGCTAAAACAGGAGGATCACCACAAGTTCAAAACCTGTCTGGGGTACACGGTGAGTTCAAGGGCAGCCTGAACTACACAGCAAGACCTCATCTCAAAAACAAAAAACAAAACAAAACAAATAAACAAACAAACAAATAAATAAAATCAATGGAGGGTCTAAGTATATAGGTCAGTGGTAAAACACATGTTCAAATGCCCTAGATCTGATCCTCTACACTACCACCAAAAAAAGAAAGAAAACAAGTCTTATTGACACGAAAACCCTGATTCTACTTCATCTGTTCAGTAAGAAAGCTAAATTATCCAGGTGAGGTTGTGCACACTTGTAATCCTAGCTGAGATAGGAAGATCACAAATTCAATGCCAGCCTGGCCAACTTAGGGAGACCTTGTATCAAAATAAAATTAAAAATAATAAAAAAATAAAATTAAAAAGTGTGCATTCAGTATAGAGCACTTGCCTAAATCCCCAATACCACAAAAACTAAAAATTAAAAAATTTAAAAGATGGCTAAATTAGATAATTAGTCTTGTAGTCTTTTTCCGTCGGTAACATTCTGACAACCAGGCAGTGGAAAAGATTATCAAACACAGCAAAGACAAAGCTAAAAATAACAACATGACTGTATTCTCTTTAATAGGAAAATGACATTAATTAGGTTTTGAACAAAGAGAGTCTGAGCTCTCAAGATAACATCTAATCTTAAAAGAACGAATATTATATATACTGTAATTACTACAGCCAAGCGGCAGAAACTGCAATCCCAGACTGCTGATTTCTCAACTTTAAACTTCTTTATATTGAAAAGTTCCTCCAATGTCATAAAGCTTTCTTTCACTGGCACCCAGAGCTCCCTGGAGTTAGGATCACTTAAAAGCACACATCATCTGGTCATTTTTATAAACATTCTCATTTCTTCCCATCTCTGAGGTAACAAACCTATGTATCAGATCAGAGATGTACAAAGTCTAACTTCCTGTATCTATGACTCTGATTAAACTTCAGTTTCAGGTCAGAAGAAAACAGACTGTCTAGAATAAACAAGCTATACTTCTCTAGACCTTATCTTTCCATA